GATCTTGCCACTTTGAAAGCCTTAACGGATAAAAAAGGGCAAACTGCTTGTGTCTCATTATCTTACGTGAGTTGCATTTATCCCTTCACCTAAGACCGAATTTCTTGCGTTAGTCGTTGATGTCCAAAGTCGAGTTGAATACATTTGGCGAGATACGGCCGAATAGAGGTTCGGTCTTCCCATGTTGCTCATACTCTATACGTACATCTTAAAAATACCCTGAAGATGGAAAAAATATATTCTTTCGAAACTTTGGCACCCGCCTACAAATTGCACAATGACATAACCCTGTAGACTGCATCATGAATCTACGACGACGTGGAAAACTCGGATCTCTGGAACTCTTCAGATGTGTAGGATTCAAGGCTCTCACAGTGGTGCTCATAAAGAGTTCTGTCGCCATACAGTCATTTGAAAGTCAACTGAATATTCGGAGGAATATATCGCCTCCATCTTCATGGTTGAAAGATTAAACCAAGGAAGAGATCATCAAGAATCAGGGAGTAAACAACGGTCTTTTATTATTGTCTGCTTCACGATGGTCTCTTCCTTGGTTTCAACCCTGAAAAGTGAGGCAACATATTCTTCCGAAACGTCTATTGCATTTCAGCTTAATACACAGCATTATATTCCAGAGACAGAACTCTTCATCTGTGTAACCTAATTTTGACGTGAACAAGACTGACTGCTTGGAATTTTTAATGAAAACGCAGAGTGTTTTCTCTGAGATCTGAACTGAACTGCTGTTGACATGAGTCTCACACTCAGAAGGATTGGCCCCGACATGTTGTAATTCACTTCCTACCAAAAAGCAGAGGTTCACACTGAGTCGGTGCGGCGAAACGTTCGTACACTGCAGCAAACATAGACGTACAGCGTTCGGAACAAACTCTGTAACTCCCAAGTTTCCTGATCTGTTATGGAGGCGGTGGCAGGAGGTTCCTGCGAAATATTTCTGCCTGTCTACCAGAATACACGGCATCACATCCAGTAAGATCGTAATCTTAATATTCACAGCCGTCAGAACATCAGATACAGTAAATTGTGGCAAGCAGTCCCGTTGTTAGACAACGGCTGCTAAATAAGTAACTATACAATGGCCGTTAGTATTCAGCGGGCCGTAAACACCAACAGAGGAATGGTCTTTTCTGTGCGGTCCGTGCCGAGATGTCAGAAGCAGGACAAGTTGGGAGCTTTTTGGTGAGCGAGTGAGTTAGAGGACAGCTGGGGCTCAGTACTTGTGATCCGTTGCTGTGAGAAACTGGTAGCTGAGGCATGGGGATATTTCGGAATTCAGAAGAAGGGGAACATCCTTCATTAGAAGCCGCTACCAAGAAACGGCAGTGAAAACGTGACTGTGGACACCAGTGTATGTGTAATAGTGAGCTGTAAATTGTAGTCACGCCCTGTATCAAAGAGTCCAATAAATTCAGTCATCAACCCAAAACCCCGTCTATAGTCACTCTCTATCGCGTGACGTTATGTTTCTATACTCCTTGCTTACATAGGAACAGGAGAATGGATCTAAGTATAACAGTTCTCACAGAAAGCCTTGCTTTTTTTGATACGGGAATTCCTTCCAGGAGGCAGCGGAAGTTTCAGCTCCGATTCTTCCACGAAGCATATAAAAGTTTCAGGTCTGACTGTTTAACGAGACCTATAGGCATGTCAGATATGACCTTCAATGGCATAAAAAAAATTTCAGGTCTGACCGTTCAAGAAGGCTTATAGAAGGATCATGTCTGAGCCATGAATTGTGCGCATGGCTGAAGTAAAGAAACAAAATGGCCACTGGGTGCATTCCCATGTATAAGTGGCATAACGACACCACAGATAATGCCTCAAGGACAACCATTGCATTCAAAGTAAATAAATAAATACACAAAACGTCAAAAGTTGTCCCTGTGCTTAACTAATTAAGCAGTATGCCATAACGACTTATGGGGGAGTGGATATATAGCTCCACCTTTCTTGACCTAGGCACTAGATGGAGGTGAATGGTCAGCTTCACGTTCCGGCCCTGTACATCCGAGGAAAGAGCTACCGGTATCCACTGGATAGGAGACTGGGTGGGCCACATTTTCTGTCTGGTCGCTTTGGAGGAGAGAAAATTCTTGCATTTCCGGGAATCGAACCAGTGCTATCCAGCCCATAGTCCGTAGATACACCGACTGAGCTGTCCTGAGCCAATATAGAACCAGCGTATCCAAATCAATTCGAGTTTCTTACAAAAATATTTTATTGGTGATAGTTATCACGAATTGTGCGGCAATTAAGGAGACCTGAGTTTCTCACGCCGCTGAACAGATCACAAATCCTCTGCTACGTGACGTGTGTGGATATTTAGCGTACATTAAGTTTCGCAATGCGAGTGTCCATCCAGCAAGAAAGGTCGAAAAAACAACTTTGGAATTCTTTCGAGACATCTTGCATAACTAAATGACCACATCGTGTCTCCCCGCTGCATTCTCAATATAAGCCCGACATCGCACTTTCTGACTGACTTCTTCAGCGCGGAGAAAGTGTGTGTCCACTTAGTGCTTACAGCGAATGCACGATGCAGGGATCCTACCTGTCTGCCCAGTTTTCCAAAATTATTTGGCCTGAATTTGATTATATTTAGTAAAGGAAAAGTTGTCTCTGCGCTTAACTAAATAAGCACAACTCCATGAAGGCGTCTGGGGGAGTGGATATATATATCCACGTTTTCTTTATCTCGACATTAGTTGGAGGTGAGTGGTCAGCTTCACGCCCCGGCCGCTTAACGCATTGGATAGGAGGCTTGGTGGGCCCCAGAACCGGTCCGGACGAAATGGAGAAAAGAAAATTCTCTACCGGGACTCGAACTCTGTCCCCTCTGTCTTCCAGCCAGGAGCCAGTCGCTACGAGTGTATTCCTCTGAATATACGTCTTGTGACGAACTCTTGCGGCAGAAATAAGCACTAACAGTTTTTAAAGTAGAACATCAGACACAACTGTAGTTAACAGATGCAAATCTCTAAAGAGAATGCTTTCGTTTACTAGTTTACTGCCGGGATGATCCAGTCGGTATAGCGATTTGCTACAGAATGTTCGGCCAAGGGCTCGGAGTTCGAGTTCCAGTATGGCAAAATTTATGTTTTCTCCAGACCGGCTCTGGGGCCCACCCAACCTCATATCCAGTGGGTGTATAGATCCACATTTTATTGACCTCGACACTGGTTGGAGGTGAGTGGTCGGCTTCATACCCCGGCCGCTTTACCCCCGGGGAAAGAGCCCCCGGTACTCATTGGATAAGAGGTTGGGTGGACCCCAGTGCTGGTCTAGACGACACGAAGAGAAAATTCTTTACCCTACCGGGACTCGAACTCCGCCCTCTTGGTCGTCCAGCCCGTAGCTAGTCGCTACACCGGCTACGCTATCCCGGCTAACCAGATGTTCAGGTAGTGCCTTACAATGACTACGACAATTTCTGTGATAATTTCTTCCCGTTCTTTTTTCACTTATAATCCAGTTATCTGGTGCTGTACATTCTGTATTACCCACAGGGCCGATAAGTAAACAGCAGATAAATAAACATTAAACTTCACACGTTTATTTATATTTATTTTACTTTTATCGACTCTGTCTGTAAGGCAGGCAATATACAGTAGCTTATCTTACGACAGTGAACAGAGAATTGGAAAGGATGTGGATCGAAGCGGTTGTGGCCAATTTCATGCATTATACCAGAATTTACCTGGAAGGGCTGAGTAAAAGCTCGATAAATCTCTGCTATATATTTCGGTTCTGACCGAATTCGAAGCGGGCACCCCCCAGAACACAAGTCAGAATCTTTATCGACTGAACCAACTCGGTTGGTGATGAATATTATTTTCTTTAGAGAAGAAGTGTATAAGGGTTGAATAATTAGTTCTCTAAGCTACTGAATGTACTGTCACGTGTATGAGTGACTATAGACGGGGGTTGGATTGGTAATTAGGTTTTCTGAACACTTACTGATCGTAACTACAAATAATTACAGCGCTATCTATAATTAACACACTCAGCAGTTCACTACAGCACTTACTAAGTCTTACAGTCTGCTGTGTCTTCACCAGTCGTTGCCTAGTAACGGTTTCCAACGGCGGAAATTCCTCTTCCTCTGACTTACCGAACTGACATGGGAAGATGAATGCATATAAGACTTTGATGGTAAAGCCGGAAGGAAAGAAGCCACTAAGAAGAACTAGATATACGAGTAGTTGGGTGTGCAATATTAAAATTAGGCTTAGAGAAGTAGGATGGGGTGATACAGACTGTGTTGATCTGGTTCAGGGTGGGGACCAGTGGAGGGCTCTAGCTTACACGGTAGTGTAATGTCAATTTTCATAAATAAAAAAAAGTTCTGGAGTAGCTGAGCAACTGGCGGCTTCTTAAGAATGACTCAGGTCCATGGAGTTAGTTATTTAGAAAGTGTATAATATTTCAATTTCAGCTTCCTATTGTGTTCTACCGACATCAACCAAAACTGAATCGAGCTGTTAAAGTAGTCTAAAAATACCAAATTTTATTTAAACCCATAAAAATCTTTCGTAGATGAATCATATGACCCTGTATAACCTTATTCTTATGCGTACATTTTGTGAAATTTGTACGAGGAACGTATGGAAAGTTTACTGAAACTGTGGAGCTGAACCTCCAGGTGCAATGTTACCTACTCAAATAATCTAGTACTGTTTTTTTTATAGCTAGTGGGTTGGGACTAAGTCCCTTGTACTGCGGCCACTTATGACCTATTGTACAAACCCCAGATGATAGGTGAGGGTGATTGTGGAGCAATTGGTGGAATGAAGATTGGCAGGGGAAACCGAAGTACTCAGAGAAAACCTGCCCCAACGCCACTTTGTCCACCACAAATCCCACTTGACCAGACCCGGGATCGAATCCGGGCCGCCGAGAAGCCAGCGACTAAGTGCTTGAGCTATGGCGCGGCCCTAGTACTGCATATTTTCAAGCATTACTTTTGATGTGACACTTACCTTCAACAGAGGAAACTCCAGACAAAACGACTGTAAAGGCAATCGCTACAGCGAAGCGCTGAAACCTGGTGACGGTCTGTAGAAGCATGCTGAATGAAACGTTTCTCCATGCAGATTAATCCAGCAAGAAGCGATCGGGTTCTACACAAAGAATATATAACTGAATACAAAGATGACTGCAGAATGCTTAGAACTGGCGCAAAGTGGCGAAGTGCAGATCAGTCACACGTCAGTCGAGGGTGCGCTATTACGTATAGAAATTATTCGTAGTTCATTGACATGAATTCTGCTTGAAACTTGGGGCGATGACATTGAGACTCGAACCGGGTCCCTGTCATCTCAGAATCGTTCCCACTTTCAAACTAAGGCAGGGACCGCACTCTCAGTTCATAATCCTAGTTCTCTGAATCTTGTATCTTTGTAAAAACAAGGTGTAGCAGGAACAACTGATCCTAATCCAATACGCGAACACTTGGCAATGCGCCTAGGCTCCACGCTCCTTCCTTTAAAACGGATCTTGGGACTGTGACAACAGCAAAAATATGACAAGCCCCTGCATGTAATGCACACTGATGTTATGTATAGAAATGATCAGACTATATCAGACCGTGGCGTTTCTTACTGCAGAGCGCCGGGTTCGACATCCATAACTTCGCACTACTGGTAGGTCGTGCAGAAAATGGCGCTGGAACCGGTTTATCTAGGAGTTTCTTCAGTTTCCCCCGCAAATAATGACATCTATCACCGCCTCCTGAGGTTCGTGATGCCCCCGATCAGGTGCGGCATTATCATATCATCGGTCTTTAATCTGGGGGCCATGAAAGCCGTCAGGGTGTTTTGCAAATGGGAAGCAGCGAGCTGATTTCATTGCAAACTTGCCATTAAGGCGTTTAAGAAAATTTGTACGGGTCGCCCTGCAAGTGCTGATCTCTAACCTGACACGTAGATATCAGCAAGAACGCTGTAGGGTGGTAGGCGTGACGAAAATGACGAGTTCTAGTTCGGATGATTGGATTTATTAGTAATTTGGTTACAATCTCTCTTAACGAGCTATAGCTGATTTACACACACTGGTCTTCTTCTGGTACCACAACTAAAACGCAGGAACTATAGCAGTCTCCCTGAATCACACATTCCAAGTGTTACGCATGAATAAAGTCTTCCAGTCACACTTAAAGTCTTTACAGATCGACTTATTATTCGCCTTCTATGACAAACCTTCCGTGGCTATCTTCTACCGAGAACTCAGAACTTAATTCTTAGCGCTGTTCGTTTTTGAGATAACTCCTTTGCACGGACCCCACGGAAAACACCATCTCCCATTGTTATGGATGCAAGTTTATATCTGCGTTGCCTTGCAACAGACTCTCTATGCCTCTGTGCTTTTGCTTGGTGCGGACCGCATGGAAAACAGATTTTCTCTTCTAGTGTTGCCTCTATTCGTGTTTACAGTGCTGTTGCCTGGCAACGCGTTGATCAAATCCTTTACAATATTACTATTCGGTATATTTATTTCCCGTTATCTTAAAATTTTGATTTGTATCATAATTCCGGGTGAGGGGGAGGCGGGCAGAGGTCCCTATTGGCCCCTTACCGGCACACATTTTTAGAGGGGCTTCGTATCTGGCCCGGCTCGCTGCAAGGAAGTGGAGTTCTTTAAACTGTAACTACAGACGAGAGGGCAATGTTGTTGCTCATCTGGTAACTTATTATGATCAGGCGAACTGCTTCTGGGTGCAGCGCCCCGAGGATTGCTTCAGGCACGCCGGCAGGACACACTGTAAATCAGACTCAGAGGAAAGCAAAAATGCTTAGCTCATTTCTGTGCAACAGGGTGACTCCGAGCTACGGGCCGGATCACCGAGGAATGGGAGTTTGACTCCCGGCTTGTGCAAGAGACCTTTCTGTTTGTCACGACGTCCGTACCGGCTCTGAGGCCCATCCACCCTCCAATCCAATGGACACCAAGAGCTGTCCACGGAGATAAAGCGGCTGGCGCGTGTAGCTGACCACTCACCTCTGTTCAGTCCCGAGGTAAAGAATACGCGCATCCTTACTTCCACTCCCCCATGTGCCTTCATGGCTTAATTAATTAAGCCCAGACAAAATTTTAATTTTCATTTAACGTTATATTTACTATGGGCGCTTTGCAGCCCTATAGGCCAGAACTGCACAACTGGTGGTACGCGGTCCGCGAGAGAGAACCCAATATATGCGTTAATACTCTCCTCAACCATAAAATATGGCGACGAATCTTGTAGAAAACAAGTTTGCTATTCGATAAATATTGCGCGTAATCTTTCAGCTGGTTCATACAGCACCCAGTAAGCAATATGCATGAATATGGGAGTATTGTCACGTGATGGAGTATGGCTGCAGACGGGTTTTGAATTGGTAATTGAATATATTGGCCGGTCACGGTAGCCGAGCGGTCTAAGGCATGTACTGTCTTCGCTCGCTCGGAAGCCGGGATCGTGGGTTCGAATCTCACTCAGGACATGGATGTTTGTGTGCGTTTTTCTGTGTTTGTCTACAGGTAGAGGCCTTGCGACGACCTGATCACCCGCCCAAGGAGTCCTACCGAATGTGTAAGATCTAGAAAAACCGAATGAACGGAGTTCATGGAGGTAGGCCTAGGCCCACTGGGGCTGTAATGCCAAGGGGGGCGGGGAAATTGAATATATTGACCACTTATGGCTGCAGGAACGAGACCGGAAGACAAAGTATTCTGAAAACAATTGCATCAAGTATTCCCGGAATTTAATCTGCTGCTTATTTCATCGCGAATAAAATTTTGTTCCGGTTTTCACAACACCACCACCACCACCACTGGCAGAAGGGCTCTTTTTGAGCCATAGCCTTCCTTAGAAGATTCTGCCAGATTTGAAATCCGGTTTTCAATACTTTGGATTTCACAAACAAATGTCGTTTTCACAGAGCGAGGTTCAGCCCACATCTTGGAGGACCAGGTCATTGTATTTATGTCCCACAGTGTCAGGGTATCCCGGTTGTAACCCCAGACACCTCGTTTCCTTTTCGTTGCGTTCTTCGACTAGTAGGTTTACGGTGGAAAATCTCTAACCCGGCTCCACACTGTGAGGTTCTCACAACAGATCCTCTTATTTTCTAAACAGCATCAAGTTGCTGGTCTTTTTATTAAAGAATCAGTGCGTTTTCTGTCAGGTGTGTTTGAATTTTCGTGTATTATAGAACATAAAACTATAATTTTGCCTGTGGATCTGTATGGGTGTGAAACTCGGTCTCTGACATTAAGTGAGGAACATACGCGTAAACTGAGGTTGTTTGAGAACAGAGTGCTGAGGAGAATATTTGGATCGAAGAGAGATGAAGCGACAGGAGATTGAAGAAAAGTGCATAATGAGGAGCTTCATAACTTGTACTCTTCTCCAAGTATAATTAGAATGATCAAGTCAAGGAGGATGAGATCGGCAGGGCATGTAGAACGAATGGGGGACACGAGGAATGCATGTAGGATATTGGTGGGAAAACCATATGGAAGGAGACCACTGGGAAGACCAAGCCGTAGGTGGGTGGACAATATTAAAATAGATCTTAGGGAGATAGGATGGGATGGTATGGATTGGATTGATCTGGCTCAGAATAGGGACCATTGGAGGGTTCTTGTGAATACGCTGATGAACTTTTGGGTTCCATAAAATACTGGGAAATTCTTGAGTAGCTGCAGAATTGGCGGTTCCTCCAGAAGGGCTCAGCTCCGAGAATAAGTAAGCAATTAATGTGGATAAACTTCGGGCTCAGAGAGGCAACGTTCTGTCCCCCAGTGCGTGACATTTCTCTGCACGTGAGCAGGGCTCTGCGCATGGTCACTGGAAGCAGAGGTACACATGCTAATGAGCGGAAAGTGTATTTTCGTTTCGTGGCTCCCGAACATTCCATTCTGTCAAAATACACAGCGGGCCGTGGTACTCTTCCGGGCTATTTATACACATAAACAGCGTCTTCCTCAACATCCTGCGGTCCGGTCCTAACGACATTTCGGACAGGTTCCTTGTGTCTGTCTTTCAAATCTCACGCACTCAAATTGTAGCGGGCAACACAGCAGGTACAATGAACAGGCTACGGACTGGAAGACGTAGAAATCGGGATAACACGTCTGGCAGGGTGCATGAGATATTTCTCTTCTACGGGTTCGATTCCAGGCAGATTCCGCAGCGTCCACACCGACCCTAGAGCCCAACCAACCTCCTATCTACTGGGCCCTTTACTCTGAGGAAAAGCAGCGGGGACGTGAAGCTGAGCACTCGGCCTCCATCTAGTGCCTAGGTCAAGAAAAGTGGAGTTATGCCTTCACTCCCCCATATATCTTTATGGCTTAGTGCTTAACAAATTAAGCAAAGGAACAGCTTTACCTTTACGTTATTGCCCATTCCCGTTTCATTATTGTCGACGGTATCCTCTCAGTTTTGGGGTGATCTCAATGACCGTTTGATGGAATTTAGTTCTAGCTATAGGGAGGCTTTTAACTTTGTTTCGTAGTGGTTTCTTCAAAATTCTTATTTCCATTTTTATTCCTATCTCCTACATATAATATTAAATGTTAACAGAATATATGCTCTGTGCAGAACTTCTTATGGTGTTCAGAGATGGAGATCAGCTCTCTGTGATATGCCAAAATGAGAAGGAAACCCTCCTCCTTTCAACCTGCCACAGGATCAGATCCAGTCTGCAAAATGAAATGTCTCAAGACACTCAAGACAATGGAGAACGCCCAATATGATACTGTACTTACAGAGATGGGAAGGCCACGCCATAGCTCAAGCGGTTAGTCGCTGGATTCCCACCGCGGCGGCCTGGGTTCGATCCCGGGTCTGGTCAAGTGGGATTAGTGGTGGATAAAGTGGCGCTGGGGAAGGTTTCCTAGGGTTACTTTGGTTTCCCCTGCCAATCTTCATTCCACCAATCGCTCCACAATCACCCTCACCTATCATCTGCGGCTGGTACAATAGGCCAGAAGTGGCTGCAGTACAAGGGACTTAGTCCCACCCCACTAGCATTAAAAAAAATACGGAAATGGGAGATCAACCTGCATCTGCAAGTATGCATTTCTCCCACGAATCCTTCTGGAAGCACCCTTCAAACTCAAATACTGGAAACACCAACATCTGTTCTATTCCAATGTGACCAATTGTTTCCATGTCACCAGACAACAGGTTTCAAGGTTCCCTTAAGTGCATATGACAAGAAAAGCTACAGAGAACCACATATAGTGAGCGGTAAATGCTTTCTTTTCCTTTCTCATGGCAAATCATATCATTCCAAATGCCAGCAGAAATAAAATAATCACTTCAGGGTGATCAGAGAAGCAAAGTAAATGTTGTTGTAAAACTGATTTACTGTAGACAGCCAGACACTGCCACACAAACTGGGTCAGTGTGCACGTTCATAAAGAATTTGTCACTCTGACCTGAAGTCATAATTTTGCTTATCATATATATGGGTGTAAAACTTGGTCCTTCACATAATGGGCAAAACCACAGACTGTGGGAGTTTGGAGAACAGGGTACTGCAGACAATATTTGGCCATAAAGGGATGGAAATAACAGGAAACTGGAGAAAACAGCATAAAGAGGAGCTTCAGAATTACTACTCTTCACCAGACATTATCACAATGATCTAATGGAGGAGATGAGAAGCCTGTAGCATGGACAGGAAAGAAGAGAAACACATACCAATATTGGTCAGAAAACCTGAGGAGAATAAACGAGAAAAATACGTAAGGATAGAGTGGATAATAATATTGTCACGTGATCGAGGTCACTATAGACGGGGTTTAGATTGGTAATCTGATTTATTGTGCACTAATAAAACTCCTTATGGCGTTTCACGAATAATTATAGGACACACTAGATCTTCTCACTAGTTCCTGCTTGGTAGCCGCTTCCAACGGTGGATTTTCTCCTTCCTTTGTATTCCCGAGCTCTCCCTGGCCTCAGCTACCAGCTTCTCACAGCAACAGCTCACAACAACTGAATCCCAGCGGTTATCTAAATAACTCCCTAACACACCAACCAACTCAACTAACTAACTGACTCACTCAGTCACTGCTTCTCCTGCTTGTAACATTTAGGCATGGACAGCTCAGAAAACACCATTCCTCTGATGTTGTTCATGGGTCATTACTTAGCAAGAGCTGTTGTATAATTGCTTATTTCACAGTCGTTGCCTAGCAACAGGTCTACATGCCACAATATTATCTTCCACACCCTGCCCTCATACTCCCTCAATCTACATAACTTCCCTTAATGTGAGTGACCCATATGATCCTATGGGGAATATTACCACTTTGTACGTTTTAAACTTTACATTTCTAGATAGCAACATGTTAAGAGGGTCCCTTGTCACCATGGCATTGCATGTCCTCATGTTGCAAATGGAGGAGACAGACTCCAGATATGGAAGCTAGCTGTGAATATATTGAATAAAAAACATGTAAGTACAGTAAAACTGAACCTTTCACACAAAAATTAAAAAATAAAAATACAAGGAGATTTCTTATAAGGCATTCAAATGCTTCAATTAGACACACACATATACTTCAATTATGCTATTTGTATAAAATTGTGAGCATATTATGAACCAATTTTAGATAATACAAATTCACCAAACTGCTAGAAGTGTGTATATGAATATGCTTTCAGTTTTACTTAAATTGTACCTTTTCATTCATAAGACTTTTGAGAGTGTATGGCAGATTGTTGAAAATGATGATACAAGCATAGTACGCGCTTTTCTGGAAATACGAGAGTATTGTTAGTTTGTCTATGTTTGCTCCTTGTGTTAACATTGTTTACAGCTAAATTGAAGTGAAGTGTTCTTGGTTATTTAAATGAAGTTCATTAATGAACATATGTATTCATATGGAAGAGGTAATATCTTAATCCCTTAGGATGACAGCACACCAAGGAAACTGGCAACCACAATTTCTGAGAATTGTTATCAGCCTGATTTGAACACATGTTACGGAATGGAGTGGCAGAACTGGGAACTCAGTTCATGTGTTCAACTCAGGCCAATAACAATTCTTGGAAATTGCAGCTCCATTCAGTAACATGTGTTCAACTCAGGACAATAGCAATTCTTGGAAATTGCAGCTGCATTGTAGTTTCCAGCTTCCTTGGTATGCCCTTGCCCTCAAGCAGACTTCTACATGTGTTTCTAGGTTTGATACCTGTATGATTTTAAGAATTTTCTTTTGTAACATAAATATCAATTTTCTGCTAGATGAATTATCCCAGAAAATTATTCACACTTCATTATAGAGTGAAAAGAGGCAAATTATACAGATTTGAGAATTTGAGTATATAATATACATATTTTCAAGAAAGGAGTGAATTACACTGGTGCATGGAACATGAGTTGTTTTAGTAGCTAATTTTTTTACCGATTGGTAGGTGCTATAACTTTTGTGGTAGTTGAATTGTAGATGAAAATAAAATAATAAATGTATGACATTATGGTGGTTACTTTGCCAGCCAACAATACATCTTTACTTACTGTGTCCTGGGTGGTATTCAGTTACACATAGGTCTGAATTAATCCGTGTTCAGATCCAAGACCTAAAATTAGTGGCTCTTTCTACCAAATGTATTCACTCTCAACTTGCATCTTACATGCGAATAATTTTACCTCTGTTTAGTTTGGAAGGACCCATTCTGAACTTAAAATGGCTGAAATTAGCTCTTGTTAAATGCCTTCACTTACCATGCAAATACAAAAGCTACAAATATATTTTGTGTATAAGAATGTGCTAGCTCATATCTTATAAATCTGGAACATGTATAGTGCAGTTGGTATAGCGACTCGCTGCAGGCTGGAGGACCGAGAGATCTGAGTTCGAGTCCCGATAGGGGCAAGAATTTTCTTTTCTTCACTTCGTCCAGACCAGTTCTGGGGCCCACCAAGCCTTTTATCCAATGTACCTGGGACATGAAGCTGACTACCTGTTGGATCTGTAAATCCACTGCTTCATATGCCTTCATGTCATAATGCTTAACTAGTTAAGCACAGGACATCTTTACCTTTTTTATTGAGTTTGGCCCAAGTTATGGTGCTTGAGCAATAATCAATTTCATATTTCGCGGTATATTACAGATATACAGGTTTTTCTTTGTTACGCGTTGCCCTCGTTGCATGTGTACAGTTTCTTTATGGTGAAAGTCTGTTGTATGATGTACATCGTTTCATCAGAAGCCCATTCTTTCTTTCTGAAATTATTATAAATTTTGGACAAATAACTAAATATGCTCTGAAGAAAATTATGGGACTTCTACATAAGCTTAAAATTGTAAATTTTGTCTTTTTGGCGTTTTCACTTCATGGACTTGCTGTCTATAGAGCTTCCATAATAATCTGTTACCAGTTTCTATTGTATTTACAGTACGCTAATTAAGTCATGGCACGTTTGTATAACGAATTAGGTTATGCGTTACTTTAGTAGAATAAACGGTACATACGAAATTACGTTACTATTTGCGCTTTCAGCGTGAGGAATGTTTTGGGGATGTAATTCAGTTGGCTGTGACCGAGTAAAGAAGATGGCTGTCATTAGGGAATCGCAATTTAAAGGAACAGTTCCTACGCTGTCACTTAATAGTCCAACAAGATCATGTGCAGCTGAAGATTTCGACCCACTACATGATGAACTCCATAACATCCAGAGTATGATTCGTCTCACGAGGGAGAATATTGATGCTCTGATAGAGAAGTTTGCAGCTTTCCAGCATCCGCCGGACATTTACATCACTGAATACCAGGAACTTACATGTAAACTTCACGAGTTTGAGGTGAAAGAACAGGAATTAATAGAGCTAATTGGTAACGGACGCGAAAGCCCTCAAGACACGTGTGAACGTCATTCTCATGATCAAAGCAGTGAAGGTGACATTTCACCAAAACTGGTACCCAGGTCGCCACTTAAATCTTTGGTGCGAGCTCATCTCCCGAATAAACAACGGACTAGTGTTCAAGTAAGGCCAGGGCAAAGTGTGAGGGAAGCTTTGGCGAAAGCTATGAAATTGCGTAAGCTTACGCCTGAGATGTGTATGGTGTATAAAGGTCAGAGTAAGGTTATAATTCCATGGGAAGCTGATATATCGACTCTTGAAGGTGAGGAAATAACTGTTGAAATATTGAACAAAGTTCCAATTACAACAAGTATTTCACATAATTTCGTGCGTAAGACGTTTTTTTCTCTCGCTTTTTGTGAGTGCTGTAATCGACTTCTGTTTCAAGGGTTCTATTGTCGAACCTGTGGTTATCGCTTTCATCAACGTTGTGCGACAGGCGTACCTGCTCTCTGTCAGCAAATTCAAAATGATACGTATTATGAAATGTTACTAGCACAAAATCCAGTGAGTTCTGCTGGTATCCTACAAAGTCCAGGGTTTGTAGCAGGAAGGTCATCACCATCACGGCCCCAGTCGATACCACGAAGACAACCTCCAACATTGGGCACAAGGGAGAGATCAAGTTCAGCTCCAAATGTCTGCTATAATCTAGTCACTCATATTGGTGATACAACATCATTGGAGGAGTTTGCTAGTCCCATTACAAAGTGTAACCCACTTCCACCAAGTCCTGGAGGAGGGGTGCTTGCAATGTGTAGTCCCGGCAGCAGCCCAACAAAGCCGTCCCATAGTCAGAGCGCACAAGCATCTCCAACGAATACACTGAGACCTTGGCGTCCACGTGCCCGCAGTGCGGATGAAAGTGGTAACAAAGTTCGCACACCTCGTGAATCAATAGAAGACTGGGAAATTCCAGCTGATGAGATTCTCATTGGTCCTAGAATTGGTTCAGGTTCCTTTGGGACTGTGTACAAAGGTCATTGGCATGGTCCAGTGGCTGTTAAAACTTTGAACGTTAAAGATCCAACTCCAGCCCAGTTACAGGCATTCAAGAATGAGGTGGCTGTCTTGAGAAAGACACGGCATGTTAACATATTGCTCTTCATGGGATGTGTAAGCAAGCCACAGTTGGCAATCGTAACACAGTGGTGTGAGGGGTCAAGCCTTTACAAACATCTGCATGTGACAGAGACAAAGTTTGAACTTCTCATGTTGATAGAAATAGGAAGGCAAACAGCACAGGGAGTGGATTATCTTCATGCCAAGAACATAATACACAGAGATTTAAAAAGCAACAATATTTTCCTTCACGATGATCTCACAGTAAAGATTGGTGACTTTGGGCTGGCTACAGTAAAGACACGTTGGTCGGGTTCACAGCAGTTTCAGCAACCGTCTGGTTCAATATTGTGGATGGCACCAGAAGTTATTCGTATGCAGGAGGGAAGTCCATACAGCTTTCAGTCAGATGTGTATGCATTTGGGGTAGTACTGTTTGAGTTGCTGGCGGGGCAGTTGCCGTATGCTAATATAAATAAAGACCAGATCCTCTTCATGGTGGGCCGGGGAATTCTGCGTCCAGACCTTAACAGTCTGCGCTCAGATACTCCAAAGGCCCTTCGACGCCTATTAGAAGATTGTCTAAAGCTAAATCGTGAAGAACGCCCGCTGTTCCGCCAGATTCTTGCCTCACTTGAAAGTTGTCTACATTCGCTGCCCAAGATACATCGGTCAGCATCTGAACCAACCTTAAATCGAACCCAGCTTCAGTCAGATGACTTTCTGTATATGTGTGCTTCACCCAAAACACCTATTAATTCGCAGTATGGAGCATTTCCCATCTTTTCAGTTGGTGGTATTATATAAAGCATCCTCAGGTATTGCTTTGCAACCTGCTCTGAGTGATTATATACATGGTGTCCCAGGAGGAATGGACAAAACTTCGGGAGGGTGTTCCTTATGTTAAAGTATGCCGATATAACCCAAAACACCTATGTCCAAAGTTGAACGGTTATGGAGATAATGGCCCGAGAAAAGTGTGGTCTTCTGGCAGGTCCAAGCACTGTACCTGGCTGTACCTCTCAGCTGAGAGCCCTTATCTATGTTTGTCCTTGAGTGCGATGATACTCCCTAGCCGTGCTTATGTAGTTGGCTCATACCAGAACG